GCCCTTCAGTCTGGGCGACAGAGTGAGACTCCGACTTAGAAAAAAAAAAAAAGGAAATGAGCCTGGTCACTAGTCACATGCAGCCCCTGCACTTGGAAGCCTGGGCTGGGTCCACGAAGTAGAGCATCCCGGGGCCTTGCGGGCTCGGGCAGACGCCCCGCAGAACCGGGCGGGAACCCCGGGCACCGACTCTCCTCCCGTGTCCCCAGGACATCTCCATGGTGGACGACACCCTCCCCATGTCTCTGCGCAGCTGGCTCCTGTGCTTTCTGGGCATTCTGAGCACCCTCGTCATGATCTGTCTGGCCACCCCCGTGTTCGTCGTCATCATCGTCCCCCTGGGCATCCTCTACGTGTCCGTGCAGGTGGGTTTGGAGACGCCGGGCCTTCCTCCCCTCCGCTGGCGAGGGCCCAGGTGCCCCCAGAGGCATCTCTCTGCTCCGGCGTCCGGCCACGTGGCTCTGGGCGGATGGTCCGAGGGACCCGCGGGCCCCTGCCGAGCTGACAGCGGTTGGCGTCCCGTGCACAGCAGAGCCACCCTCGCTGCTGCCCCCCCTCCGGATGCTGGGGTGAGGCAGACGATGTCTGGAGGCAGGACCCCTGTGGCGTGAGCTCTGGACAAGTCTCACGCCCCCGTGGGAAGCCCCACGCGGTCAGGTCGGGGCTGGAAGAGACGCCCTTGGGGGACTTGGAACAGGTGCGTGTACTTGGAGATGTTCTCTGCCGGCATGAGGTCTCTTTTCTTTTCTTTTTTTTATTTTTTATTTTTTGAGTTGGAGTCTCAGTCTGTCGCCCAGACCGGAGTGCAGCGGCCGCTCCCGGCCACCGCAGCCTCGACCCGCTGGGCTCCGGCGAACCTTCCGCCTCGGCCTTCCGAGTAGCCGGAATTACAGGCACGCGCTACCACGCCCGGCTGATTTTTTGATTTATTGTAGAGATGAGGTCTCGCTGCCCAGTGGGTCTCTTTCCTTTTCTTTTTTTTTCTTGAGTCGGGTCTCACTCTGTCACCCAGGCCGGAGTGATCACAGCTCACCACAGCCTCGACCTGCTGGGCTCAGGCGATCCTCACACCTCAGCCTCCCAAGTAGCTAGGAGGACAGGCACACGCCCCCACGACGGGCTAATTGTTTTTTTTTTTCAAATTTTTTTATACAGACAAGGTCTTGCTATGTTGCCCAGGCTGCTCTTGGACTCCTGGGCTCAAGTGATCCTCCCACCTCGGCCTCCCAAAGTGCTGGAATTCCAGGCATGAGCCACCGCGCCTGGCCTTGGTGTCTCTCCTTCACTTCAGGCCGTTCTCGTTTCCCTGGGGTGTCTGTGGAGGGTTTAGGCTCCATCCCAGGGTACCGTTTGGGGCAATGTGTGGCCTCGAAAGCAAAACAGAAAAACTGGAGCCGGGGGAAGGAGCCGCACGCCTAGAATCGAAATGGATGAGGGAGGGGGAGCTGGGGAGACGACGCCCACCATTGCTTCTGTGATGAGCCGTTCGCCCGGGAGCAGCTCCACGGACCCTGCCTCGGGGCTCGGGGCCTGTGGCCTGTGCTGAGGTGGCCCCTGGCATCGGTGGGGTCCTCGGGCACACTGTCGCCTTCCCAGCAGCCTTTTGACAGTTGTCACAGACCAACAGGTGGGAAGCAGGATTATCTGAGGAGATGCCCAGGTGACTCCTGCTCCCCGTGCCGGCAACTAGAGGGTCCAGCTGCTCCTCATGGAGTCCAGAGCGATGCAAACCATCCCCAGGCCTTGCCCTGGGCTGGCCCTGGTTCCCTGCCACCCCTTCTTGCACCCCTCACCGCACACCCCAGGCACCACCCTCATCTTCACGCTCTGCCCAGCCACGGTTTGGGCCACTTAACTGACTCGACTCATTTTTCTTTTTTTTTTGAGTCGGAGTCTCCCTCTGTCGCCCAGACTGGAGCGCAGTGGCCGCTCCCGGCCACCGCAGCCTCGACCTG